TTTGTATTTAATGGTGAATGTAGTCTGATGCCATGATCAATATTTACCAATTAAGTTTCAGTGGGAGGGGGGGATGGGCTAAAGGAATTAAGTTTTAATCCTACATTGAACTTTTGATGTTGTTCCTTACAACGCATGCATCTATGACGCCAATTGAAAAACAAAATTGAAACAGAAAGATTGATGACGTTACTTTTAATCCCATAATTCCACGGTGCAATGCCAGTGATTGACTTCGTCTCCATAACAGACATACATGTAGTCTTTTTTTCTTATACTACCAAAAAATGTACGCATTGTCATCAAATATCATATTCGCTGATATGTTAAGATAAACCGTAAAACAAACCCTGTATTGATATCTTGTAAAAGCAAGGTTACCTGATACTATCAGGAAGCACACAATGTTGATATATGTCAAATAGTGAATTATTAACTGATTGACGATATTTGCCGTGACATTCACGATGGTAGCGGAGGCGATAATATATTGACGTCTTCTGGTTCGTAAGTCTCAAGTCCATCAAGGGGCACCGCTGTAGTTAATTATAAAGTCAATATCCGGATCATTACGTTAACGATCACTAATGATTCGTGGCGAAATAGTTCAGTGGCACACTGGTCAACAGGATGCTGACGATGATGCGCATGACAGCGTCGACCTCAGCACCGAGGAGGAAGAAGAGTATGCACCGCTGATTGACAGTGTAGAGACAAAGAAGATACGCCGTTACGTTTCTAATGTGCGCAGGGAAGACACAATAACGATAACATGGAATAATGTAAATGTATATGCACCTAAACCGAAAAAGAGGTTTTGTAAACGGGGAGATGGTGACCTGGAATTGTCCAGATCAACGCAAATATTGAATGAAGGTGAGAAGGCGTGTTTACATTCGATGATAATGTATAAAGTCGCTGCTGTTTGTAAACATTGTGGTCAATTGATACGGTCTTACCTTTCACCATTTACATTCCATAAACGCTTTGTCGCTAGAGGGCGCAACTATAACAGTCAGGACTATCTGTCGAACGGGGTATATACTAGTATACTGTAATACATACCTGAATACATTCCCCGGCCGGGAGACAAGTGCATCTTGAATAAGATAAATATATCTCGGTCGGAATATTTTGTCTTTAAACGTCTCGGCCCACTAAAAATGACTAACAAACCTCCGATCAGGATATACATATTCCAATCTGGATAGAACAAAATCCTCTGGAAATAAATATCTTTTTTGTAGATCTATACAGGGAGCCTGGTCAATAGAATAGGAAACAGTAGTGCCTGTTCTAATATGCGTCATCTGCTAATGCGATATAAATACTGATCGGGCTACAGAGCAATTTATTTCTCAACCGTGATACGCGTATATTCGGATCGAAATATCTCTCTCTCTCGACGGATAGTCCTGACTGTATATGGAGAATTCGTCAGTCGTCATTTGGGCCGCCATGTTAGACGAGACGTCATCAGTATACGAGACATGTGACATATTGGGGGTATGAGAAGCAGCGTTATAGTTTATTGTGGTTCCGCGTATAGACTTATATTACGAATTCCTGCAGTGACATTGCATTGGTCACTATTTACCATCAAAACCTGCGTTATGGTTTTTGGGGTAGTATATTGCATCATAGACCTTAGAAAACAGTTTTCTAAGGTCTATGATTGCATCAATAATTTCGACAAGTAAAGTTGTTTTTTGTCAACTCTGAAAAAAAAACTAAACCTAAATATGCACGGTGTTGTATTACGTCTTAGAGCCACCGTGAGCTGCTCTACGTTTGAAACAGATTTAAAAAAATGCACGCATTCAAGTCTTAGTCGAGTTACCGACATTTCAAAGGTTTCTTCGCTTTAAAGTGTCTCTCTTCATTTCCAAGATAAGTGTAATACGTATTGATAACTAACACAATGCATTATGTTGTTTATTTCATGTCCACACACGTCCATATCACATCCGTTTAGTATCCGGCTACGCGGATTCCGGGAGCATATTGGGAATTATTGGAACGAGGTAACGCAAACAATCATACTTTATTCAAATTCATTTATTCGGCGGCGAATATATGTATATTTAAACTTTCTAAACCTGTGATGGTTTATAAACAGCGTCCCTGAGTAGACTCACACATAATACACTTAGTGATATTATCTAAGACCCGTAACAGTGATTGCCGTCTTCAATAGGCTGTTATTGGTCACATACTTGAGGGAGTTTGCCCATCATGATCAAAATTAACCTTTGACCTTGCGACGACTAGTCTGCTTCAGTCCACATATTTTAATGGCAAATACCAATAACGACGGTACGAACAGCGACCAAAACAGACTTGACCGCAAAGATAAAAAAATTATCTAGAGGCAATGATAACAATGCAAAAAAAACTTTTTCAGGAAATACCTATCTGTGGGTTTACAGTTCGACTTGTGCATATTTTCGGAAATGTATCTTTTTGAGATTTGTTATCCTTTTTTCACGATTTTATGTTATCGGCAGAGTAATAATAGAACATAATTTTTTATTATCAGCGGTGCTGGAAAATCTACTTTGATGAACGTCTTAACTTCCCGTAACCGTGGTGATCTGATCATAGAGGGCGATATTCAGATAAATGGTCGCCCATTCACGAGCGCCCTCACTGGTCTCATGGCGTATGTACAGCAGGATGATTTGTTTATTCCTTCTCTGACTGTCAAAGAACATCTCCAGTTTCAGGTGACGTCATTAAATGACGTAAATAGGTTACATGGAATTATATTGCCTAGCAATATTATTCTTTTACATGATAATTTTCATCAAAGAACGAGTCTGTAAGAAAGAATTATAAAATTGTCATGGTTAAAATTTACTTTTTGTCTTCAACTATTCACAGGCTTTGCTCAGAATGGATGCGGACATAGCAAAAAAGTCAAGAATGGAAAGAGTAGATGACGTTTTATCACAGGTGAGAACTCTGGATCCCATTTCGGAGTAGCACAAAATGTTGAGTACAATCTGCCCTTTGATATTTCAAAATAAGTTCTGAAATGGTTTTGGGTAAAAAGATGATTATAACAACAACATATTCGTCACGTGTTCGTTATGGAAACATTTGGTCTTACAGAAAACAGAAACATCTTAACTGTTAACCAGTTGGTCCAGTTAGTTTGATAATTGAATAAATACAATGTGAAATTTATAAACTATGGACAAGACCAGGAATCATGGTATCAAGAAACACAATTGAATGAATGTTGCGTTGAATTGTTATTCAGATGGGTCTGCTAGAGTGTTCTAATCACATAATTGGCGACAAGGCTCAAACTATGGGCATTTCTGGAGGGCAAGCAAAGAGATTATCAGTAGCAGCAGAGGTATTTATTTATCATTTTTTTTATTTATTTTTTATTTTGGCATTTATTTAGTTAGTTAGTAAGTTACGCGATCATTCATTAATTCGTTTATATCAGGGTAAATTTGTGGGACTGAGGTAGAACATAAAATATGTAAAATATATGAATCCCTTGAAATAGAGATGAATTCCACTTCGTTTTAAAATGCCCTATGTATGAAAACATTAGAAAAAAATGTTTACCCTCATGATCATATACTTATCCAACATTAGAATTTTTTTATTCCATTATGTCAAA